CTCTTTCTTTTTCCTGTGTTATTGTTGGTGAGTGGCGAGTCATAAGAAAAAGCCAATTGATTTCAGTGAGTGAACATTTTTTATCCACTCTCACAAAAGAGCAGGTTTGGATATATACAGTCAAACGTCTTTAATCTAAACGTCCACAATCCAGAGTGATCTATAATCCGGACCTGAAAGCTACAAACTTTCTGCGCATGCATAGCTTTCACGCATGCGCATATGCATTTAGGCAAGCACACAATACCTTTACACATGCGCGTTTAATGTATAATGGACGGTATAAGCTAAAATTATCTATTTCAGTTAATGTTGCAGATTGTGTTGTTCCTTAATCTTCTAATTGGATCCAGCTTATTATTTTTTGCAGACTTTTAGAGCAATTTTATAAAAGTAAGCTTGAACTTTCGATTATGTCAAAAAGAATTTCCGATTCTGGAGCTGCCAAAGGATCTACAAAGCGAAAGCATGTTTTGATGTCCATCAAACAAGAAGCGGAATTGCTGCAAAAAATGAATAAGGGCATATCCTTTGTTTCTCTAACCATTCCGAAATCTGTTTATCAATTTCACGCTGCTCTGCCGGGGGGGGGGGACGTCGCGGCACGCAATGAACTGGAAGTTGATCTGTTAGCACTATCCTTATCTTCAGGGCAGATGTTTTTATTTTATTTGGCTTATAATTCCTTACTAAATGTAGTATTTCATCTCGATGTACTCCATCTTTAATATGATTTAAATCAAATTCCTCGTCATTATAAATATCACAAATACACATCAAACAGTTTTCTGGTTCCCATTTTCTAATTTCGACTATGCGTTATGTATGCTTTACGCATGCGCACATTGAAAGAAATGTTTAATAAAGTAAACAAATATAAAGTTTTTTTTTTTTTTTTTTTTTTTTTTTTTTGTAAATTTTGATACTTTTTAGATCATAATTGCTCTTTATTTCATAAATTACGGTTTCATATTTTTAATTTTATAATTTCTGCATGCCATCTTACCAGATTTAAACTGATGATCTATAATCCGGAAAAACCAATAATCCGGAATCACCGATGTCCCGACGAGTCCAGATTAAACACTTTTGACTGTATCCTAAAACAGCTTTTTTGTCCCATCTTTATACATTTTTCTTTTCCTTACAAGACACACATACTTTTTTTTTCATTTTCTTCTCTCTCTCTTATTTTTTTTTCGATGTATATGTGTTGCCGTTTCAACATTCCTCACATACACAGCAATCTATTTTCACTAAAAACACATCACAAAATTTGAAAAAAAAAAAAAAAAAAAAATCATCATATTGCCACAAACTTACCATCATGTACAACTCGAGCACCAAAATCTTAAATATAAGAAGGATAAAAGCTTAAATGCATCATGAACCTTTTTAAGTGCATGATGACCTCACAGCAAGCTACATCATGTTCTATGCATGCAGAAAGCTGCTAAGTTCACGACTTCACCAAAGATGAAATACCATAATCAGAATCATAATCAGCAGTTGACTGGTGAAAATATCAGGAAAATTGGAAAGACCTCTTCGAGGGAATGGATGGTATGAACATCTCTGGTTCCACATAAACACTTTTTGGCAACATCCTGGGGTTGTTACATAAACAGATTTTGGTAACACGGTATGATACCCCCCATCAATACTTCATAGCAAACACACATCCCCCCACACACACAAAAAAAGAAAATATCAACAAATTAGCATGTTTGTCAAATGCTAAAAAATTTTTGTTTGGCTATCCTCAAATCTCTATGGATATTCATCTTAAAGATAACAACAATAAGTAGCATTTTATAAAAAACAAGAAATTTTATGAGGAAAAACAAAATCCATTTGATCAAATTTTGATGATTAGAGTTGACTTTAGGGTACCTCTAGTATTACAGCGAAGTTGTTTCATTTATTGCCAAGTTGTTGTTTCATTTATGGTAACCTGAAAAATTGAATGTTATAGAAATCCTATTATGACGTAATCATTTTCATTATTCCAAGAAATTTGGAATCATGGGATGTTTTGTAAGGGCTTTTGTGGTGTGTGTTTAGGAAATACATTGCTTGTTTCATTGTTTAGACTTTAGAATGGCTGAATGTAGTAAGATTAATTTTGAAGTTTCTGTACGATTTGGAACGAAAGGGGAAAAGTGTATTAATTGACTGGTGTGTAATTGAAGGTTTACTTAGTAGCTATTTTCGGGACAGTCCGGAATACATAGGATGTTTTTTACTCTTATTTTTATGAATTTATGTGGCGATATGGATTGTAGTTCAGATAATTTTAGGAAGTTTTTGGATGCTGTTAAGGAATTTTGTGTGCCACAGAGGTAAGTGGATATTTGCTTTGTGTAATGCTTAAATGCATAATCCTTTTTTATGTTATTTTTATTGTTTGGTTTAAAATGTAGTTTACTGAGATTTATTTTTTGTTTGCCTCTACTGTAGAATTGTGTGCTCCTTTGACTTTTTAAATGAAAATATATCGATGCGTACATCATGGACAAACTCAATAGAGTGTAGAAAGCTTTGTTTGTGCAATTATCTGATTTTTTTTAAAAGTGAAAATAGGTCAATGTGTACATGAGTACTAAGTTTGTGCAATTTTTTGTCTTGTTATTTTGGCTTTGCGTAGCGGAGATTTTTGGCGCAAAAATATCCGCTACACAAGCCAAAATAGCAAGTCGAAGACTTGCACAAATTCGCTATCCATGAACCGCCAAAAATCGCCAAGGGGTACCCTAAAATATACTTTTATCATTTTGACTTATATGTGCTGAATGCCGCTCTGCCACAGTGTTCACAAAATTTTTCACAATAGAAAAACTTAATAATGCATTTAGGAATACACTTTCAAATATCATTTGCATAAATAAATATCACTAGCCTTGATAAATAACAATACATACAATAAACACATTTGATTTATCAGTTTATATAGTTAAATGAATAAAATATTTTTTGTAATTATGCTTACTAAAAAATGTTTAAATGATAGAAAGGCGAAAGTTGTTAACATCAACTATGAAGACTCCATCTTTAAGGAAGTAATTAAATGCTGAAGTTGGGAGTATGAACAGTATCTTCACTACTAAAAAAGCTCCACATTTTAATTAAATGCATTCAGTAAAACCATTCTAATATTACTCTACATACACTTGTTTATATATCTTACTTTTCATTCAATAGTTTTATATTTTATCCCCTCATTTTCTTCATAAAAGTTACAAATAACTTCTACACCCTACAACCCTCTGAGTGGTACAGCTTTTTGGATTTGCTCATGAAGACCAGTACTTAAACTGCTTGCTTCTATTGGCTAAATTTTTACAATTACTTTTTTTTATTCCCTGTTTTCATAAATGTCCATTCATTAAGACAATATCTACATTATTAAATAAGAAAGCAAAATATTTTTAATTATAATCTAATATATACCAAAAGACAAAAAAATTTCGTAGATAGAGGTGGTCATGCCACTCAAGAGGTTAATAAAGAACTTATAAAATACATATCACCTGCAATATTTCTTTTAAGGTATTCGTATAAGACTGCATATTTATTTCAGTGATGTTCTTAAGTACTTTTCCTTTTTAAACACATTAGAAATTCATTGAATATTCAGGATTATTCAAATAATACATTGCATGTATGAGAAACAGTTTCCCTTTAAAAGTCCTCTACAAAATTCCTCCCTTTAGGCAAATAGTCCTTAAGTACTAGATCCAAACCAAATAATGCATCATTTAAGACATAATATTTTTTCTGTGCAATTACAAGAAAAATTAGAAATAAAACCACAGGACAGAGATTATTTTATTAGCCCAAACGGCCATTAGCCCCAAAGGGCTCTTAATCTCGAAAAGCATTTTGCACTGAATAACTAAAAGCACTATCACTTTCCAAATTGTTGCCAGCAAATATTATTGCCCTATATTATATTTAAAGAAATTAAATTAATAAAGAATCTGGATTCATTTATATATTGCTCGCGTTGGGAAAAAAACAATCATACCCAGAACCATCAAATTTTGAATAACATAGGCTTTCACCTGAATATAAACCTCTAGAACTTCGAATTTGTTTTATTGTCTAGTTTATATTTTGTAAAACTAATGAATTTTTTATCAATAAACTCAATGATTTTAAAACATAGAATGGTAACACTGTACGGAAAAAAAAACTTTTTTTCTCACCAATGTGCAAGACCGTCAATCGGAAATTCTAAAGATATGCTGTTTCTAAATATTTTTAGTCTAAAGGGACATTAGCCCAAATGCTCTTGAAACATGTATGTGTGCGTAAAAGAAAAAAAAAATGCATCTTTGGGCATAATAAAAAATCTAAGAGCTTTCAGATTTTGTTTTTATTAAATTATTATAGCCCTAGTAATTTATGCTAAAGCTAATACTGGCAGAAAACTTGTCCACAAATTACATATGAAATAATATTTCTTGTGCAATGTATCAAATGAAATGATGTTAGTTAAATCCCCCCTACATTATACATATATATATCAGTTATTTATATTACCAATATAATCAAGTAATCAAAAAGATAAAGTTTCTTTATCCAAAATTAAAATGTTTTAAAATCAACTTCTGAATTAAATTTATTTTAAGTGGAAAGGTCAAAGCACTTACACATAAGATCCAAAGAAGAATCTCAAAAGTTTACATATATCATCACATCTTAAGATAATAAGCATGCACACATTGTCTTCTAGTTATAGAATTTAAAGTTTCACTTACGTATTAAAAAAAGGAATATGAGAATGAAATTTTCTTGCAAGAAGCATTTAATATGAAAATATTTTATCTATTTCACCTCTGGAAATAATCGATAAAAGATTAAAAATTTAGACTAAATTCTAGTTTAAATTATTTTTAAGTTCACATACTTTTCTGTTACAAAATGAATTAGAATTAGTATGCATATCACATGGTAAAAAAGTAACTATGCCATGTTTTAAAACAAAATGTACTTACCAAAATATTCCCCTTCAGGATTACTTTCCAGTTCATCTTCAATTTGTTTGGTTAAAGCTTCAATTTTTTTCTCGGCCTCTGTTGGGCCTTTCTGTCGTTGTGGAGTCACATTATAAGGCAAAAGTGTTTTGGAATTCAAAGTATTTGGCTTAGATCCTGTACCAGGATATGGAGGGGGTGGGGGTAAATGGCCAGCAGATGCAGACTTCGGAGTCATGGAAGACGTCAAAATTTGTGAGTGAGCTGGTTGTGGCAACTGCAGTTTTGCTAGCAGAGATACCTGATCTCGAGGATGTGATCCGTTTGGCAAAGGCTTGATATAACCTTGATTAGATAAAAGGCTATGGGTACTACCTATTAATGAAGGATTTACAGATGGATGAGTCAAATGCTGACTATGTATTGGTGTAAACGAATTTGCAGACGTAGTTGGTCTCAAAGATAAGTTTATTTTTGGATTTGAAATATAATTCTCAACTAAATTACTAGAAGATACAGCCACTTTGTTCTGAGTTGAATAAACTGAATTACTAGCAGGGGTGGTAGCTTGCTGATAATGAGATGTATTACCACTAGACACTTGATACACATTTGTTGCACTCACAGGTTGGCAACTATAACCAGCTGAAACAAGGGGATAATCTTTATTTATGCCAGGAATAACATGTGGTATATTAGTAATAGGATTATGTTGTATAGCAGATACATAAGGGTAATTTGTGGTGCCAACCTGTCGATGCACAACACTACTGACATCTCCAAAGGTATCACCACAAACTGCAGTGGAAGCTTGAGGTTTTAAAGAAAGTTCCTGCAGATTTGCATAAATTGGATATTCAGTAGATACTTTAGGATAAGGATAAGGTGGTGGAGGTTTAGGTACTACAGTTATGCATGGTCCTGGATTTCGTGATTCAAGAGAACTGTTGGGCCGAGAAACCTGCTGTATGATTTCATGAGGAACAGTACAGTTCATCTTTAGCACTGTTTCAGGCAAAATCGTATTTACACTTCGCACATTGCTAAGATTCTCATAGATAGGCCCTGTATAACTTGTTCTTGGTGAGCCAGAATTCTGTGACTCTCGGCTACCACTGGAACTACTGAGGCTACTACGAGGACTGGAATGTAACGAATCATGACCAAGTCTATTTGTAATGCCAGATATAGAACTTAACACATTTTTATTTGGAATATTAGCATATTTCAAATGACTACGGTCATTAACCTGTAAAAATGAAGATTTTGAAACATTAGCATTAGAATTTGTTAAAGAATATCCTTTGTTGGAAAGACCATTGGAGATTGAAACATTTACCGAAGAACTAGATACAGTAACAGGAAGGGGCTGCTTTGGTGTAGGAAATTTTGCAGCTGCAATAACACTGGCACGATCTATTTTTGAATATGCAGGAGGATCTTTTGTTTTAAAATTCTGTCCAGTTTTCACTAAACTCTCTTTGGCTCCAACTGAACGATTTGCATGACTAAGCAAAGCATTGGGAACATCAGCTTGTTTATAAGATGACAAATAAGCTGCATTTGATATATGATTGGCATGACAATCTAACGAAGTTTTGGTACCCTTTTCAGGCAAATGATCAGGAACATAGCTAAGCTGAGAAGAACTCACCTGTTTGGGTCGTATTTTTCCATAATACGACTCCGAAGATATACTAGAATTAACTCTACTTGAATATAAACTCGGATGAGATTCCAAATTCAAATTCGCGTATAATTCGCGTTTCTTTTCAAAATCCTCACCGGCTGATGTTTCCGATTTCTTCAGTGTTGTTGAATTGGCACTAAAACATTCTCGAGATGGCACTTCAAAAAGGCTTAAATCTTTCATGAAACGGGTTGTATCCTCTTCTAATTCGTCATCATACATATCCATGCCAGAAGCATTGAATAAGATCAGAGTACTAAAATCCAATTAGCGTAATCAACTCACTTCCACACTTTCAAACGCACATCACGCAACTACATACGAAAACGTCGCTTAGGTGGTTCATTCCAATGTTTGTAGATGGTAGTTGCGGCTTTGTTCTGACGTCACTTTGATGCTAACTTCAACTTTTACCCCATTTTTCTTATATCTCAAAAACTGCGAAATACAATCTGAAAATTTTTTTAACTAAATTAAATAGTAAAATACATTTTTTAAAGAGAGTCTTAGCGAAAATTTTTTAGCATTTCACATCAACAGTGCGAATGCTACAAGATTACCATTTACTGAAATACATGAAAAAGTGATCATGTAACTAATGCAAATTTTAAGACGTGCACAGTATTATGTTAACAAAAGACAGATAATAGTTCAACGACAGTATTGTACCTGGATAATAAACGACTGGCATTAACATATATGTTCACTTAATAAATGTTGCAAAATAATACCCGTTAAAAACTTCATATTGCGAAGAAATCATAAAAGTATGCATAAAAAAACTAAAAACGAACAAATGGTCTTAAAATTTGAAAAATTATGTTTATTTCAATTCGCAGTTTACATCATTATAGTTTACAGTTTAGTTTCTTTCCTTTCCTATTAATTAAGGGGAGGTGGAAACTGTTTGTTAAAAGTTATTCATAATGAGCAGTGCAGAAACAGTCATGCAAGGAACTTTCAGCATATACATCTTTATTTCAGCTTTACAGTTTTATTTCTTTTATTATGTTACCTTTCAGTTCAAAAAGATTGTTTATTACAAACCTATAGTTGAACTCATTCAAGAACTTCATAGATTTCTAAAAATATGCATACTTTTTGGTTACATAAAGAATGCAATATTTATTCTATGTATTTAATGACAATATTTTAATAATAACTGCTGACGTAATATCATGATGTAATACAAAGAAATGGCTAAAATTCTTATCCATAGCCATTTATCAATGTTTCTTATTTAAATGGAATTTTAAGCTAATTTTATAGCAGGAGAGTTTCCATGCGTTCTATTTCACCTCTGGAAATAATCGAGCCGTTTAACAGCTGTACTTTTCATTGTTCTGAGAATTTCTTTCTGTTCTGGTATTTTTATGTGATCTTTGATTCAGGGAAAACTAATATAGCTAAAAATGTTCAAATATTACTTAAAGTTTTACTTAAATATTAAGATAATATGAGTGGAAATATGACAGATTAATACATATATGAAATCGTATCCATATGTAATTGCTCAACGTTTTTGTCATAAATGCACATAACTTTTATTATTAATTTAACTAGATATCAGAACTAAATTAGCAATCAGATTACAAACAAAAATAAACACATCTTTAATTCCGCTTTTGCCTCCATATATTTTCCTCTTGTCCATAGCTCATGTGATATTTACTTCCGTTGGCTTTATTAAATGTAGCCTGCGTCCTTCAAGGAGTGAAATTGTCGCCACAAATGCTATTCTCTGAGGAATACCCAAAACTTTTTCTGATGTATCTTATATTAGTTTCTGTCTTGGATTTTCTCTTCCCTACTAGTTATCCATTTACTCATATCTATTGGATATAGAAATTAAACTCAAACATCAGTAATTCTAGACTAAGGTATAATTTGAATCTAAATTAAGATGATATTTTGCACAGTATTACTGACGTCTTCTAGTTAACGCTTGCGTAACTATTATATATAGAGAGAGCATCCAGTTAGTAACTTGTTCTTAGAAAATAGATATTTCATATCTACTTAATTTAGACCTTAAATTTGGAAAAAGAAAAGTTCATCATCCTGCAACACAATGTAAAACCTCTATACTCATTTCCTTGTCGTCAGTTTTCAACGACTGCCATTAACATATATGTTCATTTAATAAATGTGCAATTTTTGGAGTTGAGATTAAAAAAATTCGTAACATTGCATTTTAATTTATTAAATACTGCAGAATTATCGCTATCGAAATACTCACTAGAATGCGCATTAATAGCCAAAGTGTTTAAACTGTAGGGAAAACATTAGGGCAAATCATGCTATAGATTTAAATCAATATTTCACTCTTGATTATAACACAGAATTATTTAGAGATATTTCGAAATATTTCTCCAAATTTCTCTAAATAATAAGTAACTAAGTGCATCTGATTCGAACTCCACAGACATTTTCATACATTACATACTCTGTAACTCCGAAATTTCATAAAAGCTAAATGCAAAGTTTTGGTTCACTAGTCTTGAACTATAGACTAAAAAGTCAAAATTTTATTAAAACTTATTTATTTCGAATTTTATTATTATCTCTTACAAAACTTACGTAGTCCTTCTTTCGCGCATTGATTTATAAGTTCCTATTTCTGTATCAATCACATGCTAAGAAAGCAAGTATTGTTTCTAGAATCCAAGGAGACAACGAAGTAGGTGTATGGATTACCGAAACATTTTAGGTAATTTTGCTGGTTATCTTCTCTATAGTAATTGAAAGCCGAAAAGGTTATGCAGTTCTACTCTATTACCTCCTTCGACCGATTCTAAGTAAAGGTCAGGTAGCAACAGCTACAATAACGCTTTTATGGCGGAAAAAAGATATATGAATAATAAGGAAGATAAAAAGAATACACAGAGAAATCTGTATGTTTCAGGGCTCAGAAATTCAAAGCAAATGAAATGGTCTTTGTGTGAAAATTGTTTGGAAACTCAGATTCGGGAAGTTGTTTGGATGATTTCGGCACAAACAAAATGGAATAGGTGATTTGCAGACTAACAGTGTTGTGAAATACATGGTTAATTATTTTCTTATTTGGTACTTAATATTCAAAATCCTTGATAAGAAATTTTAAAGCACATTTGGTTTGACCAATGCGTAGAAAGCCGCAGTGGAAGATAGCCAGATTTGCAGTCCACATTGGTAGTCCATAGCACTTTGTTTTTGAAAGGCGAATGACGCATTTTATTAGAAAGAGTGGAGGGGAAGCCTTCAGAATTTTATTTTATGCTAAATATACGTAATTTTACGGCTGAAAGAAAAAGAAAGAAATGAGAATAAATTCTTACTGGAGTAGATTCTTCTTCGGATTAGAATTTGAAAATTTCTTAAACGCACTGTGAATAATAATTTGAGATTAAAGACCTTTTTGTTTTTCAATGGGTCTCAGAGTAAATGAGTTTCTGATCAAGGGCTAACTTAAATGAACAAATCTTAAGCTGACAATAAATATCTAAAATCAAGCCATTTTTTATTTTATCACAGGTTTTGGCATATGGGAGATGGCGAATTAAAGATTTCCGATCTACTATTATATCAAAACTAAACTGTTGCGTGTTACTAAATTCGTGAAAGAGATATACAAACTGCTGTTCACTTTGCATTTTTATTGAATTACCTAAATTTCGTGGATTCTTTGATTATAATTTCGTTCTCGATACAATTAAAGTATGAACTGGGTGGTAGGAGGTTTAAGCATGGAGCTGTCTTCTTATAAGATTTTTGAAGTTCAGAACTAGGACGAAATTGACTACTTGTGTTCACTTAGTTTATAATCTAGAGAACATCAGAGATACATCTAAAAGCAAAAGTACGTTCAGAGTCTTCATGAACATATTGGCTCGTTGCTTCAGTGGACTTAGAATCGTGAACTCCGACATCCATTACACCAGTATCTAAACGCTGACTGTTATGAGGTTGCTTTGCATTAAGAGTATGATTTTAAGAAGCTGATGAGATCGTAATTGGAAGTGACTCTATGGTTTCGCCGCCATTTGCAAACGACAAAATTAAATTCTGATTCTTCCTGTATGCAGAGCCTCACTTAGGCAAGGATATACTGGGCAGCTGCCCCGAGACCCCACATCGGGGGGGGGCAAATCGAATAGAAAGTTTATTTTACGTTTCCTTCTTTAATGAAAATTTTGTTAAACAAAATATCAGTACAGTGTAAAATCCTTCGGTTTTATCTTAGCTTCTTCATTAATCTATCGCATAAACACAAAAAATCTATATTTCGTACATCCATGGCTTTCTAGGGCGGAATTCAGCTAAATTTTCGCAATTACGATGGATAAATTTGACCAATCAAAAGCCTGTATTTTTACATTTTCTATTTATAAATTTAAATAGCACTTTTGTCAAATTTTGTCTCTTCAGATGTGCTATATCCTTTTAATGACGGACATAGAACTGTCAGAAAATCAATAAAATGGACAGAACGATAATTCGTCTGATCACTGGAGGGGGGTGGACTTATAGCTATTTTAGATTTAGTCAATTTTCTTGTTATATATCTGTAATGAGGTGAAAAATTTAAATACTTCCATAAAGTTCCTTGGTTCTCATTACTGAAGTTGTGAAACAGAGGTGGGCCCAATGAAGTTTTTGCCCTGGGCCCCAATTAGGCTAAGTGGGGCCCTGCCTGTATGTATTCATTACTAGTATGTTTTCTCCCCAATTTCGAGCATATGCTTGTAGGTTGAATCTATTTTGCATTTAAATATTTCTGTGAGTTATAAAACAAATTCAATATTTGTGCTTTATGATGCAATTGTCTGCTGAAAATAATAAGATTACGTATTCTGCTAAGAATATAGTGCCAAATTATTGAAGAAACATAAATTAAAAAAACTTTAACATTAGTTAAAAATCTGTTCATTATATTGTACTTTATAACTGCATACATCTTTACTCATAATTCTTTGCAACGAGATAACTATTTCTGTTAGTTCCCATCGTAAAGATACAACTGATTTAATTTACACTTTTTTGGAGTATATAACGGCTATTGCATTGCTAAATCGTATACAGTCTTCAAAACAACTGTCCAATGCTTTAGTGAAGCAAGAAATGATAATGGTTCCCCTGGCTTTTGTTGCATACTTTTACTTTTATTTTAAATTTAGAGTAACAAAATGAAAGTGCCTAAGCATTTGTGTTTTGTGCAAATTTTGACCACCCCTTTTTTTCGTATTTGATACGTTACCATATTCTTCACTGCTTATATTCTAAAACAGAATATCTCTTACCCCCCAGATGATTAATAATCGTTTCTTAGGAATCATATCATTCAAAGGCATAAGCTTACAGAGAGACTGATTAGATA